CTCCATACACAGTCACAGTGAGCATAAACTCCTGCGGGAGGCGCCAACCAGCAGGCAGGCTGCGCTCAGAAAGCTGCAGCGAGGGTGCGCATGAGCGTGGTGCAGCCCGAATTGGCGGCAAGTGCCTTGCGCGGTCGGTACCAGACCCTGCCCAGGGTGCGCCACACCTGCCGCCCCTTCCAGGCCTGTAAAACATCCATACCTCGCTGCTGGGGCAGGCACAGGTCACGATTTGGCGAGTGAAGGCGTGGCGCAGGCCCTGCCAGCCCGGCAGGGCGACGCCGTGCAGCACAAGCGCCTGCACCCAGCTGCCGTCGGCCGCCTGCTCCAGGCTGGCCTGCCCGCCGCTGCTCCCTCGCATCAGGGAGGTCTCCTCATACTCCCGCCGCTCCTCCAGGCAGCTCCCAAGCCGGGCACACGCCAAAAGCAGCAGGCAGCACCAGACTCGCGCCATCCCAGCGGTGGAGCAGCCGCGCCGGTTGGCAGTGTCGGGTGGAGATGATTGTGTTCGGGCCAGACTGAAGAGCGAGCCGGAGAGCCATATCGAGAGGCCGCCAGGACCACCGCCCCAGCGCACACGCCGTGACATTGCGACTCCGCCTCAATCTCAGATCAGAGTCGGTGAGTGGTCTCACATTGATAAAACGCAGTCCAGAGAGAGAAGGTGCGCAGCCAAATGAAAGCGAATATAAGCAGGAAACACACACGCACTACGGCCCAGCGCCGACCGCTGCCGCTGCCGGCAGCGCCGCCGCGGCGCGGCGCCCCGGCTGCGGCCGCGATCCCGGCACTGCCTGGCGCTGCAGTCGCCGCCGCCGCTGCTGCTGCGTGCCCGCCTGGGCTGCCGCCGCCGGCGCAAACAGCTTGGTCTCAAACTCGGCCCAGCGGGGCAGTTTGTCTGCCGCCTCGTTTACCCGCCGCACCAGCTCCTTCACCGCCACATTGGTGCAGCCCTCTGGGGGCATGGGGAAGTTGCGGGGCGGGTACTTGTTCTGCGGCAGGGGGTAGCCAGGGTGCGAATTGAACTATGCGCCACCACAGCAAGCGTTCCAGCGGGAGCCGAGCTCCGGCGCCAGCGGTGCGGCACAGCCAGCGCGCCCGGCCTCGCACCCCACCCACGCGTGCAGCCTACACCCCTCGCCAGCGAGCGACCCTTGCCCTATGCCACAGCAAGGCCTGCAACAGCCCCCTCTCTCCCCACCACGGCCCGCCCCGCGGCAGCGCACCGTCCAGTCCCGCTTGTCCCAGTGCCAGAAGCCGACCTTGCCGGGGGTGAACTCCCCCTTCTCATTAAAGTCGTCGCCGTAGGTAAAGTGAATCATGTAGGCGTCCTTGCCGTTCTGCGCGCCAAACGACAGCGGTAGTGGGTGGGACGGCACATGCGCGAGGTGGTGGGCGGCGAGTTGGGAGGCGCGGTGTGAAGTGTGTGTGGTGTGAAGTGTGTGTGGTGTGAAGTGTGTGTATGGTCCCTGGGGCGGGCGGTGTGCAGCCCCAGCGTGGCAAGCCATGCCCTGCCTGCGCCATGCTTTGGGGCGGGACAGCGGGCACGCCCGCGCCGCGGCTCTCGGCACACCGGGAGCGCATGGGGTGCGGCGGCGGCTCACAAACCTCCGAGGTCAGCTTGGTGTCCCAGGGCGGCTGCAGCTGCATCTCCACGTGCAGCTGGTGGCGCACCGGCTTGTCCAGGGTGGTGGCGGCCGCGATGCTGTACGCGTACCTGCAGGCGGTACATGGGCAGTACAGGTGCGGCGCAGGTGCAGGACACATCAGCACTTGGTGCAGCACTGGTGTACGGGTGAGGCGGGCCAGGAGGTCCAGCCTGCCACGGATGCGCCCTGCCGGCAAGGCGGCCACGCCCCGCAGCGCTCCCAGCACCAGGCGCAGCACCCCTCGCCGCGGCTAGGGAGCTGCCCCGCCGCATGCTTCTCACATCTCCTGCACCCATCCGAACTCTCGGTCTGCCTCGGTGTCGTTCTTTATCTGGATGGCCAGCCTGAACCAGCTGTCCGCCAGCGCCCCAAACGTCTTCTTGTATATCTGCACCGGCGAGTTGCCTGCGGGGGTGGGGGGTGGTGACGCTGATGTTGGGGAGGTGCTGCCGGGCGGCTGCTGCCTGTTGGGGTGTGCGTGTGTGGTGGAGCGGTTGATGGTGGCAGGAGAGAGGAGGCGGCCCCCGGCGGTGAGGTGCGGGGCACACTCAGCGCCTCCTGCCGACACAGACGCGGTGCCTTGGTCCTGCCCCTGAGAGCCCCCCCTGCCCGTGCACGCGTTGGTCTCAGCACCTGCTCTGCCTCTGCCTGCGCCTGTTTGCTGTGGGGCCACTCACCGATGGTGTCAAATTCGGTGATGGGCACGCCCTTGGGGTTGAAGCGGTCGATGATGTTCTTGAAGCGCACAGGCTCGATGTAAAAAAAGGGGAAGGCGGCAGGGCTGCAGGCGCAGAGCGGGGGACGTTGGAATCAACGGGCAAACAGCAAGGGGGTGCAAGTCAGAGGGGGCCTCCAGGGCGCACGCAGCTGAGGAGACTGGGTGGAGGGCCTGGCTGGCGCCATGCTGCCCCCGCTATCCCCACCACCCACGCACTCCATGCATGCACACGCCACACCTCACACCGCCTGGCCACCCTCGCGAGCCCCCTCCTCCCCCCAGCTCACCGCTCGGGCGTGGCCCACAGCGGCGGCGGGCGGATGAACACGTGGTCTGGCTCGCCCATCCAGATGTAGTTCTCTGCGGTACAAGCGATATGGTACCGCAGCGGTACCGGCATTTCATGCAGCTCCGCCCATCCACAGAGACAAAGGAACGGGCCGCCGCGCGCTGCTTTGCCCTGCCCTCTCCCTACCGCCAGCCCCAGCGCCTGCAACGCATTCCCAACCCATGCCGCCAGCCTCACCCGGTATCTTATCTAGGTACTTGTCCACCCACTGCTTGAAGGCGTAGGGCCGGTCCAGCACCACATACCCCTGCAGGCAGGCAGGGCCAGCGGCGCAGGCAGCTCAGCAAGGCAGCCACGCTGTTCAGCTTCTCGCGGCCGGCACGGCAGGCGCAAGGTGAGGGCACGGCGGGAGGGTGGAGGTCGTGGGCAGGGAGGCTGCAGGGCACATGCACACTGCAGCGCGGCGCGGCAGCGGCTGGCTCCGGTCCGGTCCCAGCCCCAGGCAGGTCCCAGGGTGGCGGGATGGCGTACCGCCGCAATGTGCTGGTACTCTGCTGGCAGCGGGTCCACTACCGCCGTGGGTATCTCATCCATGAACTCATCCGCCTTGCCGCTGCACCGCAACAACACAGGGCAAGTGCAGGGAGGAGGGAGGAGTGAGGCATTTCATTAAGAAAAATTATAATGCATTGTAATTGGGATGGCTGAGGGCCTTGTGGCTGCGGGCCTGCTGCTGTGGCTGCTGCGTGAGGTGCACAGGTACGGCACGCAGCAGCAGAGCCCGACACCCAGACAAGGCAGACGCCTAGCCGCCCGCCAGGCCGATCACAAGGCCACCAGGGTCGGCCACAAGCCGCCCGCCTGCCCACCTGTGCAGCAGGCGTGTGTAGCCGCCCATGGCGCAGGGGCCAGCCGCCTCGCACTCCTCCTTGGTCTTCTTGTACCAGTAGTACGACTGCGGTACGGTAGGCAGTACAACAGCAGCTCGGTAATGGCGCAGCGGCACCACCCGTGGTTCGGACAGCGTGCAAACGCATCACACGTGGCTGGCAGCCGCGCGGCAGCGGCAGGCGGGGTGTGGACGGGCGCGGCGCTGCAATGCTCGCCACCGCAGTTGCAGCTGCTGGCTCACCACGCGCGACTGCCACTGCACATAGATGCCCGATCCCAGCGAGCAGATGACATGATACTTTTCTCCAGGCGTAGTGTTGACCCTGTCTGCATCCGCCTCCTCCCGCCGCTTCCGCTCCTCCTCCCGCTGCACCGCCTCCAGCTCCGCCCGCTCCTGCTGCGACAGGCTGTCGTCCTGCGGCGTGCCGTCGGGCGTGTCAAAGGTGTGCTCTATGGTCTGTGTCTTGCCGCCGCCGCCGACGTCAGATGCCGCGCCGTCGGATGCCGCGTCGCCGGCAGCGTCGACCTGAGAGCAGGCGCATGGGACGAAGCGCGGCAGAGGCATGCCTGCTAAAATGCCCCTGGAGGAGGATGCAGCATGCCTCGAAGAACAAGCGCTGCACCATACAAAGGCCCATCGGCCAGGACAATAAATATTCTAAGCGCATAGCAGCATGCTACCTGCACGGTTAGCCCGTCTGCTGCCTCCAAGTCAGCCTCCTCCTGCAGCCGCTTGTCGGCGCGGGTGCCCGCCCTGCCCTCTGCAAGGGGCAGGAGCAGTGAACAGCAGCGAGGTCAGGCTGCGACCCAACAGGCGGCCGTCGGAGGCAGCACAGCTGCAACAGGCGCCGCGCTGCCCTGCTGGCTCGAGGGAGCAGCACCCGCCTGCCAGCAGGCGGCGGCGGCGACAGAGCGTCTCTGTGGCGGCGCCTCACCTGTCAGCTCCCGCAGCTCCTTGCGGGTGCTGCTGGAATGCAGCTCCGCGTGCAGCGATGGCGGCGCCATGTTGAGCATGCCCAGCACCGCGCCCAGCACCACCAGCCCCAGCAGCGCCATCTTGAGGTGCGAGCCGCCCTTGCGGGCGGCCACGCCGCCGCCTTTCGGGTTGAGGCGGGCCATGGCTGCTGCGCTGTGGACGCACCAGGCGGCTCAGCACGACCTGCTGGGGCTCAAGGGCTGCCAAAAAAGGCCGGCTGTGCCAGCAGTACCCCAATGGGGAGGGTGGTGGTGGCGGTTCAACGCTGCGGCTTGGGGCAGGGTTCCAGGGATACTGTGGCGTTCCAAGGCCTCAGGCGGCAGCCGTGAAGAGCCTCCTGACCGCCTGCCCGCCGCAACAGCGATCCAATGGTGCCGTTCTGGCCCCTGCCCACCCAGGGGTGTGCTTACAGGATGCAGTGGTCGCCCTGTTGTGAGCGTTGGCTGCTCTGAAGCAATGTTGGGCTCGCTGGAAAGGCGGAGGAACTGACTGGCATTTCGGGGTTGATGAGGACGGCCATGGGCAGTCTCATGATCAGTCGCAACCATCGGCGACTGCCCGGAGGTGTGGCGACAGCAGGGGCGCATGGCCACCTCCAGCCGGGCAGTGTGCTCGCCTGTAGGCGCCAGCAGTGCCTGGACGGCGCCGTGGAGCTCTCCTCGTAACGGCAAAGCACGCCATGCCGTGCCATGGCCATCCAGCCGCAGCAGCGGCACGTGGGTGCGGGGTGGGCAAGCCCGCCGGCGGCAGCGGCTTATGCCGGCAGCGGCGTGGGCTGGAGGCGAAGTGGCTGACCTCCAGCCGCAGCAGGATGGCGCGGTGGTGCTGCTGGACCTCCCCCTTCCTGCCCCGCCAGCCGCCGTGTGCCGGGCCGTCTTTGGCGGCACCAGCAGCGGCTGCCTCTCAGGCGGTGGCGGCGCCGGCGACAGCGGCGCGCTGCCAGCCCACGGCCTCCTGGCGGAGTTCCTGCAGCAGGAGCGGGGCTGCACAGGCCTCACCGGGCAGCCCTGGCAGCCCGACAGCAGCAGCAGCGGCGGCGGCGACGCCAGCCGTGTGCTCCGCTACCGCACGCCGCTCAGCGTGCGCCAGCGGCTGCTGCTGCCGCTGGGGCCGGACGCCGTGCAGAATCGGGAGGAGCAGCGCCTGGCTCTGCAGCCCGCCAGCAGCAGCGGCCGCAGCAGGGCGACTGCCAGCAGCAGCAGCGAGGCCAGCGGCGCCATTCTCGTGGCCAGCAGGTGCACCAGCGCAGGCGTGCCCTTCTCTGGCTGCTTTGCCAACCTGCTGGCCTGGCAGCTGCTGCCAGAAGGCGCCGGCAGCGGCAGAGCAGCAGGCAGTCTGCAGCCCTGGAGCGGCGGCGCGTTCGAGGGCGGCGGTGGAGCCACTCGCGTGCTGCTCACCGCTGTCTGCCGCTTCCACAAGCCTGTGCTGGACCCGCTGCGGGGACAGATCGAGCGGGAGAGCATCCAGGCAAGCTGCCTGGCGGTGTGTGATGCGTGCGCAACTGCAACCATGTGATGTGTGTGTTTGGCCACCCGTGCCCTGCTGGCAGTACTGACAGCATCGTCCCGCTGGTACCGCTGCTGCCCTGGCATGCAGGGCATGAGGGATGTGTACTCTGCCTTCTCAGAGCACCTGCTGCGACACTTTGCCGCGCCTGCCGGCGACGGCTGCAGCGCCGCAGGCCGGACGGCCGCCGCCGGCGTCAGCAACGCCCGCGCCTGCAGCTCGCTCGCGGCCTCTGCGCCAGCGCCAGCAGGGGGCAGCGTGGTGGCGGAGGAGCCCACGCATAAGCCACCCAGCACCAGTGATGGCACTGAAGCTGACGGCGCGGATTCCTGGGCGGCTGCTCAGGCCGTGGTGCAACCAGCTCTGACCGACCCCACAGCGCCAGGCCTGCTGCAGCAGGCGCAGCAGCTGTGGCCTGCCTGGAGCAGGGCGTGCTGCCGCATGCCCGCCGGCGGCGGCGGCCCCGCGGCAGGCGTGCCGGTGCCCGAGGAGGCGGCAGCTGCGCTGCAGCTGGTGGCGCGCCGCGCCCTGCGCCTGCCGCCGCAGCAGCGGCGGCAGGAGCTGGCGAAGCATCGGGTGGTGCGGGGGCTTGTTGAGGCGCTGCGGCTGCCCTCACAGCAGCACAGCGCGGGGACTGCAGCAGCTTCGGCATCAGCCTCTTCAGCAGCTTCAGAAGCAGCCGCAGCAGCAGCAGGCAGGGATGCGCCCGCAGGCCGGCCGCGCCTGGCTTCGGCGGCCGGCGTGTCGGCCGCGCTGTGGGCGCTGGCTGTGCTGGGGGGCAGCGTCTTCTGGGAGGAGGAGGCCGAGGCGCTCTGCGCCCTGCTGCCCACCTGCTCCTTCACAAAGCTCTACCACGTGAGGCGCCGCTGCAGGCTGCTGCTGATGTTGGGGCTGCTGCTCTGCTTCCGCTGCTGCTGCTGGGGCTACTGCTGATGCTGCTGCTGATGCCGGTGATGCTGGGCTGGGTCGTTGCCTGCGTGCGGTTGCTCCGCTGGGCATCCAGCGCAGGCTGCCCTGCCCCTGACTGTGCCGTGTGGCTTGCGGCACGCCCGTCTGCCTGCCTTCCTGGCAGGTCTCTGATGCCGCCTGGGCGCTGGCAACCATGCGGCACCACACCCCGCACCTGGCCCTGCTGGAAGCGGCGGCCACCGCGCTGCTGCGCCGGCAGCTGGCGTGCGTGCCGGCGGGCGGCGGCCAGGGCGCGCTGAGACGCGTGCAGGGCGGCTTCCCCAGCCTGTCCCGTGTCTCCAGCCTGCTGTGGGCGCTAGCCTCCCTGGGCCACCGCCCGCAGGCCCTCCTGGCCCTGCTGCCAGCGGTGCTGCAGCTCCAGCAGCAGCGGCCCGCAGACAGGAGCGGCGGCGGCGGCGGCGGCGGCGGCGGCGAGCTGGCGGCACTCTGCTCTCTCGGCTGGAGCCTGGCGGCGGCCGGCTGCCTGCACCACCCTGCCGTGGCAGCAGTGGCGGCTGAGCTGGCGGGCGCGGCAGAGCGGATGCCGCCCGGCGGCGTGCGGAAGCCGCTGCTGCTGCAGCTGCACCAGTTTGGGACCGCTCTGCGGTACGAGGCCGAGCAGCAGGAGGCAGCTGCCGAGCAGGTGCAGGGCGGGCAGGGGCAGGGGGCAGAGCAGGGCGCCGCAGCTGCCTGGGACATGCTGCAGCAGCGTGCCGCCTGCCGGCAGCTGCTGCAGGCCGCGGCGGCGGCCTGGCAGGCAGAGACGCAGCAGCGCGCCACCAAGCTGGTGTCTGCCTGCCAGTCTGACGTGGCCGCCACCGCCCGCGGCGGCCTGGGCCTGGCTGTGAGGGAGGAGTGCGCCGTCTCTGGCTTCTCAGGCAAGCAGCGAGGCTGGCCCCCCGGGCCCTGCTGCGCGTGTGTTAGCGGCGACAGCTGCGGTGCTGTGGCGCGTGTGTTGGTGGAGGCGGTTGCTGCCGATGCGCGGCACACGTCACCTGTGTGTGTGATCTGCGCGCGGCTGGTGCCCACCTCTACCCATAGAGTCGCACACGCGCCCACGCCCGCCCGCCCTCATCAACACTCACACATCCACTTCCCCCTCCCGCAGTGGACATTGCGGTGCCGTCGCGGAGGCTGGCGATCGAGGTGGACGGCGTGAGTTGAGGGCATGCCCATGGGCTGCCCTGGGGGTGTTGGGCACCGCACGACATGGCGTGGAGGTGGCGCCACGGCGACGGCGTGTATGCGCGCACTTCGTTTTTTGAGCCTGTTTTTTTGTTGCTGCAGCCCACCCACTTCTGCCGCAACAACGGCGGCGGCGGCGGCGGCAGCGCCTCCAAGCAGCACCTCCTCCTCCCCATGGGCAGCACTCTGCTGAAACGCCGCCTGCTGCAGCGCCGCGGCTGGGCAGTGGCCAGCGTGTGCGCCGCGGACTGGGAGCGGCTGCGGGGGGCGGCGCCCAAGCGCGCGTTCCTGGCGGCGGCGGTGGAGGCGGCCGAGGCGGAGGCGGACGCGGCGGCGGCGGCGGCGGCGGCTGCCTGGCCCCTAGCGGGCGGCTAGCTCCCCTGTGCCAGGCCTGCTTGTTCCGAGCGACTGCCATGCGTTGTAAGGTGGAAGGGAAGAGGAGGATCCAGGACAGGGTCGAAATGCTGACCTGTGCTTCGCTGGCTAGGTTTGTGTCGTGCCTAGGTTTTAGGACGTGTTCAGAGGTCGTGTGAAGAGCTCGTTCTGTTCGGTGGCGAAAATGGCTGAGTGGAGGCCGCAGGGCGGCGCGACGAACGCATACATGCTCGAGGTGTGGTTTGGATTGAGCTCGAGCAGAAACGGCTCCCACTGTGGCGTGCAGCCTGCAAGTTGGGGGCGCCATGCACCCGCACACACTCCCCGGAGCACGCCGCCGCCGGCCCGCCCGCCCGCCTGCCGCAGCTAGCTCCGGAGCCTCCTCGCCTCCCCAACGCTGCTGCCGCACGTGCGCAGCTCGGCCCCTCGCCGCGCCATGCCAAACACTCTGCTCCGTGGATTGCTTGCCGGTGCGCTGCTGCGCAGTACGCACGGTCCAGCCGTTCCAAGTGCCAGGGCTGCAAGGCGCTGATAGGCAAGGGCGACCTGCGGCTGGGCAGCCCCCTGCAGATGCACGACGCCATCACGTTCAAGTGGCGCCACTGGTGAGCCTCCCTGTGCCCTTCGCCACCCCTGTGTCCTTCGCACGCGCCTGCGAGGCACCCCCGCCTCGCGCACCCTCTGCCTGCCAGCTCCAGGTCCCCTCTGCTTCAGCTGCACGCTACCCACCTGCAGGGGCTGCACCACCCCTGCGGTGCTGTTCAACATGCGCGGCAAGGTGGAGCGGCACGGCCAGGCGCTGGCGATCGCAGGGCTGGGAAAGCTGAAGGCCGAGGTGAGACCAGCCAGCCTAGCAGCCTGCTTCCAGCTGCGCGCGTCGGGACGCTCCAGGGCCGCTGCTGGCAGGGCAGCTGCTGGCGTGCCGGGGGCTGCGCCGCCTCTGCGCCACCGGGGCTGGCCCGGGTGCCTGCTGGGCTCCCCTGCTGGGCTCGCCTGCCTGCAGCGCCGGTGCGCGCAGAGTGCGGCCTGACCGCCTCAGGCCGACGCTTTCCTGCTTTGATTTGCGCTGCTCTGCCCTGAAAGCAGGATCGGCCGGTGGTGCAGCAGTCGCTTGACAGCGGGGTGCTGGTGGGGGTGGCAGGCGAGGGAGGGAGGCGAGGAGGGTGAGGAGGTGGTGGTGGAGGAGGAGGAGGAGTGCTGCTGAAAGCCGCAAGTGAAGGTGAGGAGTGCTGCTGTGCCTGCCTCCTGTGCCCAACCATCGCCACGAGGCGCCGTGCTGGGGTTCTGCGTGGCCTGGCGTGCCATGAAGAGCAGGGTGCGGCTCTGGCGCTGCCTGCGCCTCCCCGGGCCGGCGCGCCTCGTCCTGCCCGGCCTGATCCTTGCCGGCGCCACCTTGCAGACTCCTGCCAAGAAGAACCCCCACAGGAAGGCGGCCAAGAAGCGCGGCGCTTGGGTGGCGGAGGAGGTGCGCCATCACTGTGCCTCCCCGCCTCCCCGCCTTGCACGCTGCGCCTTGCACGCTCGCGTGCATTGCCGAGCGCACAAGGCCCTCTGCTGCTGGCTGGTTGGGCCTGCAGGAGGATGAGGATGAGGATTACGTGCCCAGGCCTGAGGACCACCTCTCGATTCCCAGAAGGCAGGCCACCAAGCGGAGCAAGAAGTGACCGGGCGGCGGGGGTCTGGGCGGGGGTCGCGGGGATGCCGCTGAGCGGCCGGCGGCGTACCGGCACCGGGCATTGGGGAGCTGTGGGCAGCCCCAAGCGTTGAAAAGATCGATACTCGAACAATAAAATCAATACATCAGCCGCTTCTGTTTAACAGAAGTGCATTTGCTGGCCTTTGTGTAAAGATGGGGGAGGAGTTTGGGATGGAAAGGAGGGTGGGTGGATTGCTGAATGGATGGTGGGCATGGCTCCAGCCAACGCCACGCATTCCTGTTCTCTCGTTTTGCTGATGTTGCTGGGCCGAGCACGAGAGCGAGACATGGGCAGGGCTCGAGTCGTCCTCGTGGCCTGTGGCGGGGCGTGGCTGCTGCTGGTGTCCCTCCTCCTCCTCTCCTCCCCTCTCCAACTGCTCGGACCTCTTGCTCGTTCCTACCCCCATGACGCTGAGGCCTGCACGCAGGGAGCAGCGGCGGCTGCTGCGACGCCTGCTGCTGGCGACCCGGCTGGCGGAGGCGGCGCCGCCGACTGGGGCGCCAGCGTCATCAGCCCGTTCAGGGAGCTGCAGCTGCTGGGCGTGCCCAACCCCGAGCTCGACGGCCTGACCTGCCTGGAGCTGACCCTCGCCCAGCACCGCCACTGGGCCGAGCATGGCGCCGAAGGCCCGGGGCCAGGCGCCACCGACGGCCAGCCAGACGGCGGCGAGGGCGAGCGGCCGGGGGGCCGCGCGGCGGCGGAGCGCGAGATGCAGCGGGACCGCGCGCCGCGCACGCTGTGGTACGAGAGCTACGCCTACGCCGACGTCGTCATGGACCGCTTCTTCCTGCACGCCTACTGCGGCGCGTTGGCAGCCAGCCCCCCGCTGGACAACTCCAGCGTGGCCATGTGGGGGCCAGGTGAACCAGTACTGCAGGGCTGGCGCCGCCAGCTGCCCCTGCCTGACTCAGCAGGCATCGCATGTGTGCCTGCGTGCCTGCGTGCCTGGAGGGCATGCCATGTGGCTCACGCTGCCAGTGCACCAGCTCGCCTCGCCTCGAGCCAAGGCTACCGCCATGCCCCGACGCCCGATGCATGCTGCACGGGCTGGCGGCAGCTGCCCGTGTCCGCCCCGTGATGCGATGCTTCGCCCCATGCAGGCTGGCCGGGCTGGGACGAGGGCCTGTCTCCCGCCGACAACGTGGCGCGGCGCTGGGGGCAGCCTTTCCACCTGGTGGTGGCCGTCAGCTTCTACCCAGAAGAGCTGGGCCTGGCGGGGGACCCAGTCTACATGACCATCAGGTGCCTCCTGTGCTGTGCCATCTGATTGTTTCAGTCACCCGTCCAGAAGAGCACAGCGCACCACAACAGCACACAGCCACTGGCAGCCGCTGGCAGTGCAGCAGGGCGGCAGGGTTCTGCCGCCTTCTCCTGAGCGCCGCCGGCTGCCTGCTGGCTGCCCGCAGGCACGAGTGTGTGTGGTATGAGCAGCACGAGTGGAGCGATGAGCGCTGGGCCTGCCCCTTCCACGGTGGGCGGCGCATGGCTGGCTGCTGCTGCCGGCTGCCGCTGCCAGCGCCTCCCCATGCATGCCCGCCGTGACCTCCCCCAGCAGCCCCCTTCCTGTCGCCCTGCCTGCCTGCCTTCGCCTGCAGACAGGCGGCACCCCCAGCCCTGGAGGCACTACAACATCACCCTGCTGGCCTACGAGAAAGATCTGGTCACCCTAAACGACCAGAAGAAAGACGACGTCCACGGACTGTTCCCAGCCGGCACCAACCACTCCCTCCTGACCTTCTGGCCCCACACCGTGCTGCCGGGCACCTACGCGCGGCACTACCGGGCGCAGGAGGAGGCCCAGCAGGAGGCCACCAGCGGGACTGCCAGTGGCGCCGGTGCCGCAGCCGGCGACGGCCGCCCGTACGACATCTGCGTGGTGGGCCAGCTGCACTCCTTTCACTACCCCATCCGCTCCAAGCTGGCCCAGTGGATGGAGGAGGGCCTGTTTGAGCGGCACGGCCTGCGCAGCAAGATGCTGCCCCACTTTGGGTACACCGAGCAGGTGGGACTGGCCAGGGCTGCATGCACGGCACCTCCACCTCCACCAGCCACTGCGGCATCTGTAGTGGCGCCGCCAGTGGCGGCGCAAGCATGAACCCCTGCCTGCCTGCCTGCTTGGCTTCCTGCGCCTGTTGCGGCTGCTGCTGCGAGGCATGCGCTGCTGCCCCACGATCGCTGGGGGAATCTGCCTGCCTGCCACCCTCTCCCCTGCCTGCGCATTGATCTGCCTGGCATGCCACCCTCTCCACCCTCTCCCCTGACCGCTTGCCTGCCTGCCTGCTGCGCAGGACTCTGATGAGGAGCGAGCGGCCAAGCAGATCAACGCCACGCGGCTGGAGCAGCAGTACGAGCAGTACGTTGCTTTCCTCTTCCAGTGCAAAGCCACCATCGTCACCCGCAGCCTGCGTGACTACGAGGTGGGGCTGGCAGGCAGATCCGCAGCAGGCCGAGCGCGCCGCACGCAGGGCACGAGTCCCCGCATGGCTGGGGGAGCTGTGCAGTCACCCCGCCGCTGGCGCCGTCGCCTGGCAGGCGGCGCCGCTCTGCCCTACAGCGCCACTTACCCACCTGTCTTTCCCCGCCGGCCGCCCTGCAGCTCAGGAAATACGTGGAGCTGGGCATGGCTGGGTCGCTGATGGTGGGCGACGTCCCCACCAACTCCATCTCTTCGGTCTGGGCCCAGCTGGTGGTGGATATCCACGATGACGTGGCAGAGGACCGGGTGGAGGCGGTAATGGCCAGCATCAAGATGTGGCTGTCGGAAGGGTACCGCCCGTACCGCGAGCGCATGGTGCGGCGGGCGCGCCTGCTGGCGCTCAGCCAGCGCACCGCGCAGCACGGGTCGGAGCGCATGGCGCAGGCATTTTACCAGTACTGCGAGGGAAGGAGGGGCTTCCTGCGGCCGGCCTGGCTGGAGCCCTTTGACCTGGCATCGCCAGGCGGGCAATCAAATGTGGCTGCTTCCCGGTGACCCGCCGTGGTGCCCGGAGCCTCATCTCCCCCTGACTGGCTGCCGCCGCTTCAGCTGCTCCCTGCGGCCTGCCAGCAGCAGCTTGGCGAAACCGTGCTTACAGGGTGTAAAGAAACCAATGGCTCCTGCCGCTGCCACAGACGTGCGCAATAGTCTTGGAAGCATTCCCCCTCCCATTCACTTCACGCGATACATGAGCGTCTTGGGGCCGCCGCTGCTGTTGGCGGCCGCCACGTCATCGGCCAGCAGGAAGAAAGTGTAGGTCTTGCGTGTCTCCTTGGAAAACTCTGCAGCCAGCCAGCCGTGTGACGGAGAGGCAGGCAGTGGAGCAGAGGTGGGCGACGGGCAGGCCGGCAGGCAGGCAGGCAGGCGTTGATGCAGAGCAGGCAATCCCAGCAGGCGAGGCACGATTCCTCTGCCGCGGGTGGCTGATGCAGCAGGCAGCCTGGCGGGCTCACCCGACCGCGTCTCCCACCGCCCAAACCACTTGGCTTCCGCCGCCGAAAACCCAAAGTGCATGGCAAAGGAGCCGGTGGCGGGGTCTGCAGCAGCTCAAGGCACGCAGGCGCGGGTCAGGCCCAGGCTGGTACACATGTGCGGGAAGCTCCCTGCCAGGCAGCAGCAGATCGTAACAGGCTGGCGGCCTCAGGCATCGCATGCTGTGCGTTTACCGGCCTGCATGGCCAGCTGACTTCACCCTGCTCAAAGGTACAGGTGCCCTTGAATGCGTTGTCCAGGGGTCCCACCACGGACACGAGGTCGATGGTGCCTGCGCAGGCAACAAGGGCATGCGTGGGATGTGATGTATGATGACGGGAGGCCAGGAGGCTCCGGGAAGCAGTCAGTGATGTGACTACAGGCCGGCCCTCACAGCTCCCCCACAGACCTGCATCGACGTCGACCACTGCATCCTCCAGTACAGGGATGTACTGCCACTGCTTGATGGGCGAGGGCGTGGAGAAGATGAGGCGCCAGGTGCCGCTGAGTGAGGCAGGGAAGCCTGCAGGGGGTGGGGTGCGGGCGCCAGGTTACCTGCCAGCAGCATACCAGCCAGAAGCGTGGGCCACCCTGCGAGCATTCAGCCAACCAGAGGATTTGGCAGCTCCGTCCGCCGGCCCTGCCGTTGCAGCGGCACACCTTGAACCAGCGACGATTGCTTGTGTGCCGCCTCCACCTGCTGCATCGCCGCCAGCACTTGCTCTGGCGGCACCTGTGTGGTGCGGCATGCCTCGCGCAGCACTTGAAGGGGAGCCTCCACTGCTGCTGCCACGGGTGGCACGTCGTTGCTGCTGCCGAGGGTGGCTTGCACTGGCAGCAGAGCGCGGCGGCGGCACCTGGCGGTGGCTGGGCGGCGCGCAGTGGGCGGCAGGATGGCGGCGGCGGCAGCCGCTTGTCCCGGCGCGGCAGCAAGAGCGGAGGGTCGCGTGCAGCTGGCTATCGCGATCATTCTGTGTCGCTGTGCGGGTCGGGGGCGAAGGCAAGGATAGAGGTGCGCGATGGGGGTGGCACCGGCAGGAAACGAAGCTTAGGGTCGCTGGGGTTGGTCTGATTTGACGGCGATCGACGATGGCAAGGGATTACGTTGGCGAACAGGGGCGCCCCATGTCCAGCTGGCACGCACGCGCAGCATTCCTGTCTCCGACATGTGGCGGCTGGACAGCGCAGCGCGCTGCCATGGACCTGTTGACAGCAGCCTGCCTGTCAGAGTTACATCATGACCATACTGATCACTCACAACACATAGGTACAATTAGGTACAGGGATTTGGGCTGCCACCAGCTGCGCAAGTCGACGGCACCTCCCTCGCAGGCGGCCAGCAAGGCCGCCGCCGCCGCCACTCCGGCCGCTACGCCAGCCCAGTGCGCCGCACTCGCTCCTTGAACAGCCATCTGTACACGCAGGCCGAGCGCTCCGGGCCCACAACTCCCTTGCCCCTGCACCACACCATCATGGCACGCACGCAGAGCTTTTGTCCCTCTGCAGCCTGCCACTGCAGCTGGAGGATAGGGCTTGGCGGGCGGGGCCGGGTAAACCAAACTGGCAGGCCGCGGCAGCTGCCAGAAAAGAACGCACCCGGTGCACTTGAGGCCCTGCAGCAGGCGCTCAGCTGCGCGGTGGCCGTCCTCGCCGCGGCTCGCCGCCGCCGCCACCGTCTCCTGCACCCCGCACCGGCACAGGGAGGGACGGTGATCCCCCAGCGCCTGTTTGGCGGCAGCGCACATGCAGCAACTCGGCGGGAAACAACCCTTCGGTCCCCGCCCCACATCCGCCACGCACCTGGTAAGCGCGGTACAGGTGCAGCGGTGTGGGGTATCGCTGCAGTATCCCCTGTACCACAGTGGGCCCCATGCCTGAAACAGCGCAGGGGGAGGGGCAAGGAGGTGGGGCAGGAAACACGAGGCGGCTGAAACATCAGCCCACGTGCTCCCAAATGAGAGCGGTTTGCATTGCCAGCATCAAACCGACGCCCTGAGCCCGGCTATGTGCCCCTCGCACTTCCACCCCCTGCCGCTCACTGGGCACCGCCGCCAGCATCACTGCAAACAGGTCGTGCAGGGTGGTGGTGCCCTCGCCGCTGTCCTTGCACACCGCCACCCACGCCGCGAAGGTGGGCAGCTGGCCTGCAGCGCGCAAACGCAGCCATTCGGCGGCAATGCCAAACGACGATGAGCGCTGGGGCATGCCACACAACGACGACATGCCTGCTCTCTCTCTCTCTCTCTCTCTCTCACACACACACACACACACACAAACACACAAGCACACACACCTGCCGCGCTGGGCCCTGTGAGGTCGCGGTACCAGTCCTGGATGTGGCGGGTGAGGCGCTGGTACAGGCGGAAGGTGCTGTGGTGGTCTGCGCCGCAGCAGCCAGAACAGGAGGAACACCTCGCCGCACGGCCGGAACCAGAAGCCACGGCGAGCCGGCCGCAACAGGAGGACCGGCGTGCCGCGCAGTGCTGCGCGCGGCGCCGGCCGCTCCCCACGCCACTCAAGCCCAGGCATGCCCTCCAAACCGGCCGTCCAGGCCACTCACCCACCCACCCGACTGCCAGCCAGGCAGCCAGCGACCTACCTGAGGTGCGCAGCACGGTGAAGCCATCCACCACCTCGATCTTGGCAGATGCTGTGCGCACCCCCTTCTGCGCCACCTCTGCGCCAGAAGGGGCACACACGCACATGGGCAGGGCGCACAGGCACACATGGTGCCCGCGCATCGCCGGGTGCGGGGCAGGGGGCCAGCATTCGCGGTCGTGCAGCGCGCCTGCTGTCCCCGCTGTGCCGGCCGCCATCCCCACTCTCGCCCACAGAGCGCATCGCAAGCCAACGCCTGTGCTGCAAGCTTGTCCTTGCTGCAACCAGGCTTACAGCCCACACACGCAAGCTGTGCGACACACAACAGTCTGTGCCCCGAGAACTGCCCCCTACCGTGAGCAGCAGCAGCAGCAGCAAACCAGGCTGCAAGCCCGCACAAGCAAGCAACAAGCCGACAGCCACCCCAGCCCCACCGGTGCGGAGGGTGTCTGGGTCCCCCTCGACAAGGTAGTATAGGTGGCGCACGCCGCAGCGCTTGAGGTGGTACTGCAGCAGTACGTTCCGGCAGTACCGCAGCACGCTCGTGAGCGGCGGCGGCAGGGCCCCGGGTGCCGCCTCTCGCTGCCAACGCAGGGCTGCCTGCCCGCTGAGCGTGGCGTGGCGACTCCAGCCGCACACACATCCACCCCAGCCCCAGCCCGGCCCCGCTGCGCTCATCACGCCCATGGTGCATCCATTTGCTGTGCATCCAGCAGGTGTACGCAGCCGGCCGGTCAGTCAGCCAGTCGGTCACGCGGTGCTCCGCGCCCGCCCACCTTCTGCCGCTCGTAGCGGGTGGTGGTGATGGAGGCGGCCAGGTCGTGCACGCTCTTGCGCTCCAGGCAGTAGTCCAGCACGTACTCGGCGCCCGGCTGGCGCCTGCTGCGCGCCACCCAGACCGCGTCGCCGATGGGCAGCTGGCGCTGCTCCACGGCCAGCCCCGCGGCGCGCATCTGTGCGTGCAAGGTGCAAGGCAAAGGTGGGGGGGAGAGCTCCACGGGCCCAGCTCCCCCACGCTTCACGTGTGCAGCAACGCAGCGTGGCAGGCTGGGAAGCTGCATTTGATGTGGCCCAGCCGGTAAACGGCGAAGGGTCGGGAAGGGAGGGCCGGCGGCGCACCGTGGCAATGTGTGCATCCAGCGCGGCGCGGTTGCCCTGCCCGCCGTCCCGCCTGTACTGCTCCCGCCCATCCACCAGCATCAGGACCTGCACACAGCACGGGTGTGGGTATAGGTGTGGGTGTGGGGTGCGGGTGTGGTCTGAGGCTTCCCTTCCGGTGTGCCGGAGGTGCATGGCAGCCATGGGTTACTTGAACTTGCAACCAGCCAGCCAGCCAGCACAGCAACAGGCAGGCAGGCAGGCAGGCAGCCAGCCAGCCAGCAGCCCCCACCTCGTACTCTTCCGCAAAGCGCCGCCCCGCTGGCAGCGGCGGCAGCCGCACATCCTGCTGCCGCAGGCGGACGCCGGCGCCGGCGCCGCCGGGGCCGCTGCCGCCGCGGGCCAGCGGGCCGCTGTCTTGCTGGCTGGCTGGGGCGGGCTCGCCTCGCAACTGGCAGTCTACGCCAGCCAGGAAGCGATCCACGTCAAATTCCGCGCTCCCGCCTGCCTCCTGCTCTGCCTGCTGCTGCTGGCTGCCCTCCCCCGGCGCCCCCGGCTGCTGGCTGCCCATGCGCACGTGCCCCGCACCAGACTGCGGCTGCTGGCGGCGTTGGGAGCTTTGGCGTTGCAGCGCCGCGGCGGCAGCGGCGGCAGTTGCCGGCACGGCAGCAGGCCGCTCGGCGCCATTCCGCAGGACCTCTCGTGCAGGCTGCAACGGCGGCTCCGCCGGCTGTCCCCGCTGCAGCGGAGCGGCGGCCCCGCTGCCGCCTGCCACTGCCGCCGCCCGTGCGCCTCGCTTGGGGCCCTTGAGCGTTGTGCGCTGCGGAGCTGCTGCTGCAGCAGCCGCCAGCTCAGCATCACAGCCCTCCTCCTCGCCGTCAGACGACAGCAGCTCTGCCAGCTCCACAGCGCGGCCAATGTCTGGCAGCCCCATCTCCCCCACCGACTGCCGCAGCGCCTGCACAGCCGCGGCGTTGGCGGCGGCAGCAGGGAGGGCGGCAGTTGAGGCGCTGGCCTGCCCTGCAACTCTGTCAAGTGATGTGGGAGTGCTGCACACACAGCAGAAGCTCGTGCCCAAGGCAGCACACGTGCAGACAGAAGCGCCAGGCATGCCAGCTTCCGGGCAGGTGCACCAACCCACCCTGCGAGCCTTCCTGTCAGAGTATCCCATGCCCACCATCGCCGCCACCTGCTCATCCGGTACCGCCGCCGCCGCTGCCGCCGCCGCGGCAGCCCCCATGCCCGCATGCGCCTGGTCCTGGCCTGGGCTGGCGGCTGCCACGGTGCGGCGCTTGGACAGAGGTGAGGGCGAATCGTCGCTCAGCAGGTCAATGACTTCCTCAATCACGCCGCTCTGACGCGGCCCGCCGCCAGCCGGCACTGGCGCTGCAGGTGCGGGCTGCTGGAGCTGCTCGTGCTGCTGATGTGGCTGGGCATGGAGGAGCCCCTGGTGCTGCTGCCGCTGCAGGCGCTCTGCCAGGCTGAGGCTGAGGTCGCTATCCATCTCAGCCACCATGCCATTCCCCTCCCCACCACCCCAACCTCCTGCTGCTGGCTCAACTCCATACCCTGCTGCTGCTGCGGCTGCAGGGCGGCGTGACGGTGCCGCATCCGGCACGCAGGGCCACGCCTCTGTCGGCGCCACAGCCGCTGGCGGCGCCTGGTGCTGCTGCACGGGGAGGCGGCGGCCAGCCTGCAGTGCTGCAGAGGGCGCCACGCCTTGCGGCACGCCCGCCGCAGCAGCAGCCGCTGCCGGCGCCAGCTCTGCTTCCTGCTGGAACAGCATGGGGCCTGCAGGGGAGATATGCGGGAGCGAGCCACGAGTCGTACTGCAGGTGCAGGGATGCACTGCAGGTGCAAGGATGTACTGCAGCTCCCCTGATGGCAGCTGGCAGCCAGCCTGAGCAGGCACGGCTCCTGCGCCGCTCTTCACAGCGCGGGTGAGCAGCCCCCCATTGGCCACGCCTGCCCGCCATACCTGCGGTGGGGATGCCAGGGATGGGCTGCAGTAAGCCACGCGCCACGCCGTCGCGGTACAGCCGCTCCGCCAGCGCAAAGCCCTGCAGTACAAGCGGCGCGGCCGTGGCGCGAGGGCAGCGCAGGGGATCTGAGCGGGGAGGCGGATGGGGAGGTGCCGGCAGCAGGAGCGCAGCGGGCACATGCACCCTGCGCACCTGCATGCCAGCAGGGCAGCGCAGGACAAGGAGGCCCACCTGGGGTGTGAGGGACACCTTTTTCGGGTTACTCCACTCGTAGGCCAGGCCCTTTGTGACGATCTGTGGCCAGGCACGCAGGTGTGGGGGAGGAGAGGGCCACACGGATGTGAGCGCAGGCTAAGGCCAGCCGCCGACACAGCAGCATACATGCCGAGGGCGGGCGGGGAGGCGGGCGGGCACCCACCGTCTTGCGGAAGCTGTTCCACCCGTCAAACTCAAACTTGCGCCCGTCGGCAAGCACCCGCGCGGCCGTGCCTGCAGGGCAGAAGGCACCGCACCAACGTGGCCGCTTGGCTGGACCATCAGAGAGCACACACAGAGCTAGGCGCATCTGCGCGGCACAGCAGCCTGCGTGCAGGTGTGCAGACGCGGTGGGTGCCGATGCCGCCGGGCCCACCATCGCCGTGGATGGGCTTGTCCGACAGGCCGCTGGCCTCAGTCAAGTCCATGAGCTCCTGCTTTCCAAAGTGGGGCTGCTTGGCGGGGCCCTTCTGCGCCTGCGCTTGGCATAGCGGCAGCGGCAGCAGCTTGGGTGAGCCCCAGCGGCAGCATAACCAGCAGAAATGCAGCGGACGCAGCGGCTGGCGGCGAGGGTGCGCGCAACCCCAGTAAAACCAAACCCTCCGCAGCAGCACGCACCTGCAGCATGCAGATGAGGAAGGCAAAGGGAGCGCTGTGCAGCTTGGGGATGTACTCCTTTGGTGGCTTCTTAGCCCGCTTCCCTTTTGCCCGCCGCTCCTCGTCCTCCTCCTCGTCTCCCGCTGCCGCTGCACCCGCCGCCGCTGCACCCATGCCTGCAGCCATGCCTGGAACCGGCGCCCGCGCCACCACCGGCGGCGCGGCCAGCCCGGCTGGCGCGGGCCCAGCGCCGTTGGCTGCCGTGGCCGCCGCCGCCTCCTGCTTCTTGCGCTTCCGCTGCGCCGCCTGTGGCAGGCACCAGGCTAAGCGGTTCACATGTACACACACGTCACTGTCACACAGGACTGATGCAGGCCCCGGCAGCATGGGCACAGCGTGCTGTTAGCAGCTGCAAAGTGGCACGAGTGCAGCTCACCGCCGCCGCCTTGATGGCCGCCTCCTGCTGCCGCTCCGCCTCCAGCTCCTCCTCACTGGGCGGCTCCGGCGGGTATTCCCCAAACAGGTCTGACGTGATGATCTGCTGGGAGACGCGGGCCAGGGGCGTTCTCAGTGCAACGGCTGCAAAGCATCGAGCGCGGCTGCCGACATGCAGGCCGCCAGCGAGGCGAGGAGGTGTGGTGCAGGCAGGAAGCAGCAAGCATGTCACGTCTAGGTGCGGACTGGCGCTGCAACTGCCCCCAGTGCGTGTGCCGTTGCTTGCCTTGGCGATCAGCGGCCCGCAGCCCTTGACCTTGAGCGCGCTGGCCTGGTCGTAGACTCGGAAGGTGTGGGTCAGCAAGCTGTCAGCCGCCTTCTTTATCTGCGTGGCCATGTTTTCCAGCCCATGGGTGCCCTTCTGCTGCAGGTGGCGACGCACCTCGCTGGGTGCAGAAGGGGGAGAAGGGGTGTGGGCGTCGGTGCAGGGGCGGGCTGGCGGCAGCTGGCGGCGGGTGCAAAGCGCAAGGTGTCAGCTGCCCGCGCCGAGCCTCTGATGCTGCATGGTGCTCTGAGCAGGAGCTGTGGGGAGCGGCGCTGTCAAGGAGCGGCGCTCACAGCAGGAACTCGCGGACGAGGGCGTTGCCAGGGTTGCAGGCCTCGCAATGTGAAGCCTGCGTCTCCACGGTCCTGTACGCCTCGTGCGCACAGGAACTATATTCTCCCATCGCCGATTACTTCAGCTGAGCTCAGGGCTCAGCCCCTAGGCAGCTATGCTATTTCCATGGAGTTCCTCAATGCCATAGACCGGGGGCGGGCATGTGGCGAGAGAGTTGGCAACCAACTTTCGAAAGCCTTGCTGGCAAAACCCGGGAAGGAGAGAGGCGCCCTCTGGCCCGAATTGTGCACTACTTGTGCAAGTGCAGCCACTCAAACCTACTGATGCTGTGAGGGGTGGCTGGGAAATGGCGCCGGTCAACGCCGAGCACACGCTGGCGCTGGCCCTGCGCTTTGGCGGCTCCAGGATAGCCCGGCTGGCGGCCCAGCAGGTCAGTATGTGCAGGCAGCAGCGCTGAGACACTCAGGCCCCGACACCCACTCGCCCCCGCCCGCCGACCCGGCCGCCTGTCCTTGCAGGCGCTGCAGACTGTGCAGGCCCATGCGCAGGGCAGCAAAGACTTGGCAGATGAGGGCACGCTGCCATCTTCCTCCGAAACCGCGAGTGGCGGGGACAGCCTGGAAGGCCCTCCGCACTCCCCGGTGCCGCCGCCTGCAGCCGCTCCCAGCCAGGCTGCTTCGCCCGAGGCGGGAGACGAGGCGCTGCTGCTCTCCGACCTGCTCAACACGGCGGCGGCAGCCGGAGCCGGCAGGCAGGAGGGCTTGCTGCGGCGCCTCGGCGGCAGGCCGCTGCCATGCGCGCAGGCAGCACCACCAGCAGCTGCAGCAGTGGGGCAACCGCCCGAGGCAGACCGCGCAGACCGCGGCAGCTACAGCGATGAATTCAGCACTGAGCGGATGGCAGAGGAAGAGGAGGGAGCTGATTGCAGCAGGCGATCTGCAACACTACCAGCCGCCGGTTCACCGCCCAGCCGAGGAGGCGCAGCTTCTCCCGTGGTGCCAGGCCAGCTTGCTCTTCTGGATGCGGAGGAGCAGGACACAGTGCTGACAGGCAGCCCGATAATTGGACATGCCACCACACCCGACGGCAGCCGCGGCAGCGTCAGCAGCGGTCCCGGAAGCCTCTGCAGTGTGGGTGGCGCAGTGAATGAGATCGGCGCGGAAGCAGCATGCAGCCAGGAGGGGAGAGCTGAGGTGCCTGCCACCACCCCTGCTTCCCACCGTCCTGCTGGCCAGCAACCACGGCAGCCTGCCAGGAAGCCAGAGGCCAGCGGCAAGCCTGCCAAGGAGGCAGTCCGGCAGCGGGTGTGGAGCTTTGCCGCCATCCCCCAGGGCCATGCCAGCATCCCCAGCAAAGCCGACGCCACTCCACGCAGCTCGGCGGCAGCCATACCTGGCGGAGGCAGGCCTGCATTCTACACTCGGGCTGGCTCGCCTCGGCCGCCAGCGGCAGCACCGCCGCCACTGCGGGCTGGCAGGAAGGCGGCACGGCCCTCTTCTGCGCGGCAGACAACGGCGGGGCCGGGCGCAGCGCCGCCTGGGGTTGAGCGGCTGGCGCAGCCAAAGCACGCCCCCGCTGCGCGTCGGCCGCCCACTACTGGTGGCACACGGGCTAAGCTAGCAGTGGGCGACACACAGCCCGCTTCTCATGCTCCACCTGCATCTGTAATGGGCGCCACCCAAGCTGGGCACAGCGGCGCCAACAGGGCCAAGCAGCCCAGACCCGATAGCAGCAACCAGCCAGGCGAAGACGGCATTTCTGCCTGGCGGCGTCCCGGGCCTGCAGCAGCGGCTGCTGCCACCACATTGCAGAGCCCCCGCCAGCAGCAGCCGCAGCAGCAGCCTGCCAGCTCCATCAGCAAGCCCTGGCCGCAGCAGCTGGGGCAGCAGCTGAGCGGCACAGAGCTCCAGCGCGCTACAGGGGCCTACAGTGAAGAGCGGTTCCAGCAGCACCTCAGCAAGCTCGCCGCTGCGCTGGCGGCACGGCAGCAGCTGCGGGGCCGGACAGCCGACGCCGCCGTGGCAGGTGGGGCCCTGCGCCGCGCAGGCCGCATGCCGGCGGCGTGAGCGGTGATGCTCTGCTGCGGTACCATTCTGCCCTGCAATGTGCCGATGTTGCTCACTGTACGGCCAAGGGGCAGTGTGAGGACCTGAAACCCCTTGTGCTGTGGGGCTGGTGTGCAGGAGTCGGTGTGTTTGTGGAACGAGTGCAGCGGCTGGGCACCGGCTCCCTGGCTACAAGCTGCCACAGTGACGTGCATGCTGGAGCACAGTGTGTCGCACCAGCAACACCGTGCCAAGCTCCAGCAGGGGACCAGCCAGACCAGCAGCCCAGCCCAGGTGCCCAGCAACTGACTGCCGGCGGGGATGCAGGCAGCCCCAGCGTCGCTGACCAGCAGCCTGGTCCCAAGGCCCTTCCGCAGAGCCTCACGGAGCGGCTGCTGCACTGCCAGCAGCGGCTGCAGGGGCGGCGGCCGCAGACTGCGCCGCTGGCTGGAGGTGTCAGCCCGTGGCATGAGCAGCAACAACAGCAGCAGCGCCCGGCGACTAGCAGCCCAGGAAAGGTCAAGTCACTGATGCAGGTGGGCGTGGGTCTGGCTGGGCGGCGGTTAGCCTGGGGCGACATCTAGCAGGCAGTTGCTATGCAAATTGGAAAGCAGGGAGCTCAGGCTGAGGAAGAGACAGCCATGTGATGCCCGCGTGCTGTGGCCCGCTGGCCTGTGCTGCTGTGCAGGTCAAGGGCGAGCAGGAGCGGGCGCTGCAGGAGCTGCGCCAGCAGCCGCACCGCTTCCGCGCCTCCCCGCTGCCCCTGTCCACAATGGAGCCCCGCTTTGAGCGGCAGCAGGCGCAGCAGGCGGCGGCGCGGCACGAGGCTCAGGAGCAGCGGCGGCGCCAGCTGTTGGAGCAGCAGCGGCCTTTCCCTTCTGAGGCGCGGGAGGCGGAGCGGCGGCAGTGGCGCGTCTCGCAGCACTGGGACCCCGCTGGCGGCGAATCTGCGGCAGGCGCTGGCGGGGACGCTGCAGCTGGCGCCAGGCCAAAGATGCCGGCCCCGCCTCATGCCCAGCCTGTTCCCGTCTCCACAACGGAGGCCCGCTACGCCCTGCTTGTGGCTGAGCTGCAACTGCAGCACCGCACAGTGCGGGGCCGGCAGCTGGCGTCCCCGCCGCGGCGCCTGGCCACCGCCCCTCATGCGGTACCCGCTTGCAACAGAGCGCCAGCCATCCGCCCAGCCACCTCAGCCCAGACCACAGCGGCATTGGCTGAAGCACGGCTCTCAGCGGATGCAGTGCAGCCACTCGACGGCAGCGCTGGCAGGGAAAGCCCAGGGCCTCCTTCTGGCAGCAGCGCTGGGGAGGCTGCTGCTCGGAGGCCCAGCAGCCACTGCCATGGCAGCGGCGCCGCCTCTCCTGCTGGCCATGGCATCGTTGCCGCTGATGGCGCGAGCAGCACTGCTGAGCAGCAAGTGGCTGGCACCGTGCAGCTTGGTGCCTCAGAGCTGCCGCCGCAGACGCTGCATGCTGAGACAGCAGAGCAGGAGGGGATGGAGGCAGCAGGCGCATCAGCAGCAGGCGCCAGTCGCTACAGCACTTTTGACTCGGAAAGCGTGAGCGGCAGTGTGGATGTGGCGGCAGGTAGTGAGGTTACTCAGCTCAGCAGCGCTAGCAAGGGTGTGTGCAAGGTGGAGGCAGAGCCACCAGCACTCGGCATGGTGGCAGCTGACAGCGAGGCGGGCGTGCTGCCAGCAGGGGACGAGGCCCAGGCTCAAGCGGCTGAGCAGCAACAGGGCCCGCCACCTTCTGAGCCGCCGAGCGGCGGCAGCCCGGTGTCAGTGCGCGGGGCCAGTGAGCAGCAGCCCGTGCTTCTGCCAGCAGCGGCTGCGGCATGCCAGCCCAGCCTTGAGGAGGCTGAAGAGAAGGTGCAGGCCAGCAGGGGCCCCAGCAGCCCTGCTGTCCAGAGGTTGGGCTCCCGAAGCGAACATGGAGCGCTGGCACAGCCTGGCCAGCTGCCCGATCCTGCGGCTCATGTGCTGCCACCGCTGGCCAGCAGCACCTGCATCCAGCCTGGCAGCCCACACACCAGCAGTGGCACAGCGCCAGCTGGCGCTGGTCAGGCGGCATGCTCCGAGGAGGCCGGCATTGCGGTTCCCCTGCGCTTCCTGGCAGGCGCATCAGGCTGCCTGCCTCTGCCCCGGCCAGCGCCTGGCACAGGCAGCAGGTATGTGTGTGCCGAGCTGTTGGCGGAGGGCTCGGCAGGGGAAGATGCAGAGGCACCCGCGCTCCCCGCCGATGGCCTCGCAACAGCTGACTGTGTTGGCGATACCGTCAGCCAATGCGGCGCATCGGTTGGCTCTGCAGAGACGGCCACGCGGCAGCCCCGGCGGCGGGACACCCCCCTGCAGCACATTGCGGCCCGGCATCGGCAGGCCGAGGCGGCAGCGCGGCGGGAGGTGCGCAGCCTGCTGCAGGGCCGTTAGACGCCCTTCGACGGTCTTCGATTGATTTACAACAAGTGGATGCCTGCTTTGTAAACAGATCAATCAAATCATGCAGAGTACAGCGCACAGGATGCAGGGGAGCGTGCGGCAGCAGAGAGGAGAATACAGGGTGCTGGCATCGTACAGCAGGTACAGGGCTGGAAATAACGGTCGTGGCTGAAGGGTCGTATCAGAGCATCACACGTACATGCAAGCAAAGACAATTACAGGGAAGCACAAGCGCGGGGTGTGTGCGGCATCAAGCAGCGCATTGGCGTATGCAGCAGGTGGTGGCACGCTCACTTCGGTCCCGTCAGGACAGCGGCGGGATGCTGGCGTCGCCCCAGCTCGTCTCCTCCAGAAACTCTGCGAAGCTCTGCAGCCCGAACCGGGCGCGGCAGGCCTCCGCGTCAATGCCGTAGCCCTGCGGCAGCGGACAGGGTGGGTGAGGGGAGGCCGACTCGGCGCGGCGCGGCGCACAAAGGGCGGCGGCAGGGCATGCGCCCCCGCATCAGCTTGCGGCAGACGTTGATGGGGCACCACCCAAAGCGTCGCCATACCCCACGCAGTCCTTGCCTGCGTGGAGTAGAAGCGGCAGATGCGGTAAAGGTCGCGGTTGAGCAGCCAGAAGGGCCAGGCGGGCAGGTGCTTGTACGCGACCGGCGGCGCGTGCCGCTGGGCAGCGCTGAAGGCCGCCGCCAGCTGGACGGGAGTCAGCGCGTCGCCCGCCAGCGGTACCGCCCGTCCTGCGACGGCAAGATGGGGGGTGGGGGCGGTTTAGCTGACAGCTCACAGCTGGCGCAGCTGGCAGCAGCAGGGCCACGGCTGGTGGCAGCGGGGGCCCTGAGCCTCAGCCAGGGCGCTCATCTGGCGCACCTACAAACTCGTCAGGTGCTGCCACCACCTGCGCCGCCACGCGGCCCATGTCCTTCACGCTGCACAGGCGCAGGACAAGGGGGCCAGCTCAGACCAGCCAGCGCCAGCTCAGGCCATGCATGCGGCACCTGGCGCGATACATGCGGCACCGCCGCCGCCGAATGTGGGAACCGAGGCGCCGCATGCGGCACCTCGGCTTCGGCAATCAAGCGGTTGTGAAGCCAGCTATTCACAAGGCGGCAGCGGCAGCGGCGGCGGCAGCCCTGGTGGTGGCTGCGTGCAGCCGCCACACAGGCGCACCTGACCAGGTGCAGCGGCTTGTCCGGGGGCATGGCAAAAGCGAAGGTGCCCTTGAGGATGGCGGGGCGAGTGTAGCGCTTCCACAGCTCCTGTTGCGGCGGCGCAGCGGCAGGCGGGCAGGAGGTTCAGTCATCCGGTGGCGACAGGGCTGGCCGGCAGGCGGTGTGTGGCAGGGAGGCGGCAAGGTGAGCTGCCGGGTGGCTGATAGCTGCCTGCCTACAGCCAGGCACAGGCACTGGGGCGCGCCCCACAGGCAGGAAGGCAGGGGCGCGCAGGCGCGCGCCCTGCTGGCAGGCAGGCAGGCAGGCACTGCCTGGCAAGCAGGCAGAGGTGCCGCACCTCCATGAACAGCGAGGCCTGCAGGCAGGTCAGGGGCAGGCCCGCAGCCGCCAGGATGTCCTCCACCTGGTGCTTCTGGTCCATCTGTGTGTGTGGTGGTGGGTGGTGGTGGTGGTGGTGG